GGAGGGAAGGAGGGAAGGAGGGAAGGAGGGAAGGAGGGAAGGAGGGAAGGAGGGAAGGAGGGAAGGAGGGAAGAAGGGAAGAAGGGAAGAAGGGAAGGAGGGAAGGAGGGAAGGAGGGAAGGAGGGAAGGAGGGAAGGAGGGAAGGAGGGAAGGAGGGAAGGAGGGAAGGAGGGAAGGAGGGAAGGAGGGAAGGAGGGAAGGAGGGAAGGAGGGAAGGAGGGAAGGAGGGAAGGAGGGAAGGAGGGAAGGAGGGAAGGAGGGAAGGAGGGAAGGAGGGAAGGAGGGAAGGAGGGAAGAAGGGAAGAAGGGAAGAAGGGAAGAAGGGAAGAAGGGAAGAAGGGAAGAAGGGAAGAAGGGAAGAAGGGAAGGAGGGAAGGAGGGAAGGAGGGAAGGAGGGAAGGAGGGAAGGAGGGAAGGAGGGAAGGAGGGAAGGAGGGAAGGAGGGAAGGAGGGAAGGAGGGAAGGAGGGAAGGAGGGAAGGAGGGAAGGAGGGAAGGAGGGAAGGAGGGAAGGAGGGAAGGAGGGAAGGAGGGAAGGAGGGAAGGAGGGAAGGAGGGAAGGAGGAAGGAGGGAAGGAGGGAAGGAGGGAAGGAGGGAAGGAGGAAGGAGGGAAGAAGGGAAGAAGGGAAGAAGGGAAGAAGGGAAGGAAGAAGGGAAGAAGGGAAGAAGGGAAGAAGGGAAGGAGGGAAGGAGGGAAGGAGGGAAGGAGGGAAGGAGGGAAGGAGGGAAGGAGGGAAGGAGGGAAGGAGGGAAGGAGGGAAGGAGGGAAGTAGGGAAGGAGGGAAGGAGGGAAGGAGGGAAGGAGGGAAGGAGGGAAGGAGGGAAGGAGGGAAGGAGGGAAGGAGGGAAGGAGGGAAGAAGGGAAGAAGGGAAGAAGGGAAGAAGGAAGAAGGGAAGAAGGGAAGAAGGGAAGAAGGGAAGAAGGGAAGAAGGGAAGAAGGGAAGAAGGGAAGAAGGGAAGAAGGGAAGAAGGGAAGAAGGGAAGAAGGGAAGAAGGGAAGAAGGGAAGAAGGGAAGAAGGGAAGAAGGGAAGAAGGGAAGAAGGGAAGAAGGGAAGAAGGGAAGAAAGGAAGAAGGAAGGAGGAAGGAGGGAAGGAGGGAAGGAGGGAAGGAGGGAAGGAGGGAAGGAGGGAAGGAGGGAAGGAGGGAAGGAGGGAAGGAGGGAAGGAGGGAAGGAGGGAAGGAGGGAAGGAGGGAAGGAGGGAAGGAGGGAAGGAGGGAAGGAGGGAAGGAGGGAAGGAGGGAAGGAGGGAAGGAGGGAAGGAGGGAAGGAGGGAAGGAGGGAAGGAGGGAAGGAGGGAAGGAGGGAAGGAGGGAAGGAGGGAAGGAGGGAAGGAGGGAAGAAGGGAAGAAGGGAAGAAGGGAAGAAGGGAAGAAGGGAAGAAGGGAAGAAGGGAAGAAGGGAAGAAGGGAAGAAGGAAGAAGGGAAGAAGGGAAGAAGGGAAGAAGGGAAGAAGGGAAGGAGGGAAGGAGGGAAGGAGGGAAGGAGGGAAGGAGGGAAGGAGGAAGGAGGAAGGAGGGAAGGAGGGAAGGAGGGAAGGAGGGAAGGAGGGAAGGAGGGAAGGAGGGAAGGAGGGAAGGAGGGAAGGAGGGAAGGAGGGAAGGAGGGAAGGAGGGAAGGAGGGAAGGAAGGGAAGGAGGGAAGAAGGGAAGAAGGAAGAAGGGAAGAAGGGAAGAAGGGAAGAAGGGAAGAAGGGAAGAAGGGAAGAAGGGAAGAAGGGAAGAAGGGAAGAAGGGAAGAAGGGAAGAAGGGAAGAAGGGAAGAAGGGAAGAAGGGAAGAAGGGAAGAAGGGAAGAAGGGAAGAAGGGAAGAAGGGAAGAAGGGAAGAAGGGAAGAAGGGAAGAAGGGAAGGAGGGAAGGAGGGAAGGAGGGAAGGAGGGAAGGAGGGAAGGAGGGAAGGAGGGAAGGAGGGAAGGAGGGAAGGAGGGAAGGAGGGAAGGAGGGAAGGAGGGAAGGAGGGAAGGAGGGAAGGAGGGAAGGAGGGAAGGAGGGAAGGAGGGAAGGAGGGAAGGAGGGAAGGAGGGAAGGAGGGAAGGAGGGAAGGAGGGAAGGAGGGAAGGAGGGAAGGAGGGAAGGAGGGAAGGAGGGAAGAAGGGAAGAAGGGAAGAAGGGAAGAAGGGAAGAAGGGAAGAAGGGAAGAAGGGAAGAAGGGAAGAAGGGAAGAAGGGAAGAAGGGAAGAAGGGAAGAAGGGAAGAAGGGAAGAAGGGAAGGAGGGAAGGAGGGAAGGAGGGAAGGAGGGAAGGAGGGAAGGAGGGAAGGAGGGAAGGAGGGAAGGAGGGAAGGAGGGAAGGAGGGAAGGAGGGAAGGAGGGAAGGAGGGAAGGAGGGAAGGAGGGAAGGAGGGAAGGAGGGAAGGAGGGAAGGAGGGAAGGAGGGAAGGAGGGAAGGAGGGAAGAAGGGAAGAAGGGAAGAAGGGAAGAAGGGAAGAAGGGAAGAAGGGAAGAAGGGAAGAAGGGAAGGAGGGAAGGAGGGAAGGAGGGAAGGAGGGAAGGAGGGAAGGAGGGAAGGAGGGAAGGAGGGAAGGAGGGAAGGAGGGAAGGAGGGAAGGAGGGAAGGAGGGAAGGAGGGAAGGAGGGAAGGAGGGAAGGAGGAAGGAGGAGGGAAGGACGGGAAGGAGGAAGGAGGGAAGGAGGGAAGAAGGGAAGAAGGGAAGGAGGGAAGGAGGGAAGGAGGGAAGGAGGGAAGGAGGGAAGGAGGGAAGGAGGGAAGGAGGGAAGGAGGGAAGGAGGGAAGGAGGGAAGGAGGGAAGGAGGGAAGGAGGGAAGGAGGGAAGGAGGGAAGGAGGGAAGGAGGGAAGGAGGGAAGGAGGGAAGGAGGGAAGGAGGGAAGGAGGGAAGGAGGGAAGGAGGGAAGGAGGGAAGAAGGGAAGAAGGGAAGAAGGGGAGGGAAGGAGGGAAGGAGGGAAGAAGGGAAGAAGGGAAGAAGGGAAGAAGGGAAGAAGGGAAGAAGGGAAGAAGGGAAGAAGGGAAGGGAGGGAAGGGAGGGAAGAAGGGAAGAAGGGAAGAAGGGAAGAAGGGAAGAAGGGAAGAAGGGAAGGAGGGAAGGAGGGAAGGAGGGAAGGAGGGAAGGAGGGAAGGAGGGAAGGAGGGAAGAAGGGAAGAAGGGAAGAAGGGAAGGAGGGAAGGAGGGAAGGAGGGAAGGAGGGAAGAAGGGAAGAAGGGAAGGAGGGAAGAAGGGAAGAAGGGAAGAAGGGAAGAAGGGAAGGAGGGAAGGAGGGAAGAAGGGAAGAAGGGAAGAAGGGAAGAAGGGAAGAAGGGAAGAAGGGAAGGAGGGAAGAAGGGAAGAAGGGAAGAAGGGAAGAAGGGAAGAAGGGAAGAAGGGAAGAAGGGAAGGGCAGCGCATCCATGCCTGAGTATGCAGCGTATATGTCATAGTCGAAGGGGTAGGGGAAGGGGGGGAGGGTGTTGAACTGAAAAGGGAGGTTGAGTGGGGCGAAGAGGATGGAAGCATCAGCAGGTAGATAATGCAAGGGGGGATGGACAACTTTTGAGGCGACCCAAAAGCACGTTTTTTATATTACGAGACAAACTGTTGTTATGCGCCTAAAGAGCCGTTACCAGCACGTTCTTGCCCTTGTACGACATGAACGCGCACGACCGCCCCACTTGGTTGCCCCTACAGGCATCAGCTGCACCTAAGGGCCATTAACAGCACGTTCTTGCCCATATACGACAACAAATGAGCTGCCCAAGGAGTGATTACCAGCACGTTCTTGCCCTTGTACGACATGAAGACGCACGACCGCCCCACTTCGTTGCCCGCGCCCAGCGGCATCAGCTCCAGCTTGTCGTGCGCGTCCTCTGCTTGTAACGGGTCCTCCTTGCGCTTCGCCATCCCCGATATAGCAACTTCGAGGCTGGGATTTCTCTTTCAATTTCGTGCGAGGGACTAGAAGCGAACGCGCGGAATGGGGAGCTCCGAAAGTGACCGTTGAATAGACTCAAGAGTCACCTCAAAAGGCACAGAGTAACGACGTTAAGCAAGGAGCGTGAAGCGCGAAAGCTAAGTTCGTCAAGCTGAGCGAATGGCGAACGCGCAAGTTCTTCGCGAAGCGAAGCGCGGGATGCGTAGGGCGAAATCAGGGTGGCGTAAGAAATGACCGTGCAACTCAGGAGCCTCGAAGCCAAAATCCTTCACAGAACGAAATGATCGCTTAGACTCCCGGTATTGCACGTGACGGGTTAGGTTATGACTGGATCAGCAGCAGCAGGAAGGTTCTACACAACACAGCTGCTAGATAGCTAACAGAGTTACTGCTAGGTGCCCTCACGATGTATTCGCGTTTTTTTTCAGGAACAAGGGTCTGATCGTTTGAATAATGCGTAGCGATCGACCTTCCAAAGGGCTAACAGGCTACCATAGAATCACCAGTTTCCACGAGACATCACGCAGATTGACGAAATTGGTTACTGTACTGATTGCGTTTCAAAATTTGAGCATCTCGTGCAACTTCGTTTGCCCAAAAATGCCTGATCCAGATCGCAAAGATTTCCAACGAAACCCTTATGCGAGAAAAGTAACGGTAACATGAACCTCAGGTTCAGAATTTGACGAGGTGCCTGGTTGAACGGTTCGGCTTCACGTCCGGCCATCACTTCGTCTCAAAATTGGTTCGTTTGTTGGGTTGAGAAGTGCGCGCTATCATCTGTGAATCCCGTCCTGCCAAATCTCGAGAGCTCTCGAATCGCGGAGAGTGAGAGCCAGGTACTACTGATTAGGATAGGACACAGGGATTAGAATCCAGGTCAGATTCCTGAGGGAATGCCAGCTGTTAGGAAACATTAGGAAGTAACAGAATGTATTAGAGACGACGCCAAACGTACAATAAACGAGTGCTGTCCGCTCAGGCGTGTCTGCGGCTCTGCTCATGGATTTTTACTTCGATTAATTTTACTATCACTTCGAAAAAATCCTATTCTGGGCCGTCTCAACAGTTCGCATCTCGTCTTATTGGGTTTTCATTAGTTCCATCTCACGATCGTTCACGATTCCACCGACATGTCAGTGCCAGCGGCGCCGGATGCCGTCAGGCAAATTCCGGCCGACCCCGTCGCAGCAGCGCTAGCGGCGGCAGCGGCAGCGAGCCCAGCCGTGAAGCGCGCCGAGCTGCGAGCCGCCGTGAGGGAACTGCGCGACCGATGCCTGTTCCAGGCGTCCGCGTGGTAAGTCGAGTCAGGTTGAGTCAAGTCAAGCCAAGGGCCCGCTGAAGCGCGTCTAGCTGCGAGCCGCCGTGAGGGAGCTGCACGACCGATGCCTGCTCCAGGCGTCCGCGTGGTAAGTCATTCAAGGCTGTCGCTTCTCCACTGCTTCCATTCGCCCAAGGTTCCTAGTAGTGCTTCCAATGTTTATTACCGTCTCCATTTGTGCCACACCACCACTCCCAATGCCGACCGTTCTCTCATTGTTTTTCCACCTCTCCTATTGTCCGCCATCCTCTCTTTCCCCCCCTTTTCTGATTTCACAGGGCCGCATAGCAGCCGATCAGCCTGCCCGGCATGCCGTCTCCCGTGTTTTTTGAGAATTCTCAAGTGTTTTTTGAGAATTCTCAAAAAACACTCGCTGAGAATTCTCAAAAAACACTCGCATAGCAGCCGACCAGCCTGCCCGGCATGCCGTCTCCCCAGTGCGCTGAACCCATTGCCAATCTCCCGCCCAATGTTTATCCATCGTCTCTCCGCCTGATTCTAGCCCCGCAGAGCAACGCCATGCCTTCTCAATCAGAAAATTTGAGACGTCCCGTCCCTCTCCTCAACCCCTCCTGGTTCCACAGGGCTCCAGAGCAGCTGAACGGCCTGCCGGTCATGCCGCCTCCCCACTGTGCCAGACCTAATGCCGATCATTCTCTCATTGTTTATCCACCAATTCTATTGATCACTTCCCTCTCCTCTCCCCCTCCTGATTCCACAGGGCTGCAGAGTGCCGATTGGCCTACCTGCCATGCCCTCTCAGTCAGAAGCTGCAGCAGGGGACAGCAGAGAGGAGCGAGGAGCAAGGGACGGGCAGGGCAGAGACTTTAACATGCCTCTCTCTCCCTCTCTCCCCCTCCTCATTCCAGGGCTGCAGAGCAGCTGATCGGCCTGCCTGCCATGCCCTCCCAGTCAAACCCTGCAGCCGGGGACAGCAGAGAGGAGCGAGGAGCAAGGGACGGGCAGGCAGGGGCTGCCAAGGCAGAGACACACACGACAGGAGAGGCAGCAGGGTCAAAAGGGACGGCACGCGGGGCTGAAGGAGGAGCGGCGGCGATAGGTGAAGTGAAAGGGAGGGAGCCTGTGGAGGGAGAGGAGGAGGATTCGGATGAGGTGCTGTTTGCGCGGGCGCTGTTTGACGTGAGGGAGTTCAGGAGGGCGGCACATGTGCTGGAAGGGGTGGGGGGGAGGCGAGCACTGTTCCTGCGCTGCTACGCGCTGTACCTGGTGAGTGAGACGAGGTGCTGTGTGCGCGGTCGCTCTTTGACGTGAGGGAATTTCGGAGGGCGGCGCATGTGCTGGAGGGGGTGGGGGGGAGGAGGGCTTTGTTCCTGCGCTGCTATGAGCTCTACCTGGTGAGTGAGACATGCGTGTAGGAATTCGCTGGGTATTTGGAAAAGCAGGGGAGGAGGGGGCGGAAGAGGAGGAGGATTCGGACGAGGTGTTGTTTGCGCGGGCGCTGTTTGACGTGAAGGAGTTCAGGAGGGCGGCACATGTGCTGGAAGGGGTGGGAGGGAGGTGCGCGCTGTTCCTGCGCTGCTATGCTCTGTACCTGGTGAGTGAGAGAGGAACACCACAAGCAGCACATACTCACTTAACCACCACCACTAACAATCTTTGAGTCGACTCAATAATCGGCTAACCACCACCACTAACATCCACTGACCCACCAATCCACTCACCCACCAATCCATTCACCAATCCCTCTTCGTTACAGCTGTTCCTCACACCTACAGGCAGGGGAGAAGCGCATGGAAGATATTATCCTAGACACCTCTTCCCAGGAACAGACCCTCCCAGGCACCAACCAGCACCAGCACCAGCAGAAAATTCCACCTTTCCCCGCCCACCTACCACTCCACTCCCTCCCTTATCAATCCCCCCCACACTGTTCAGGGAGTGGAGAAGCGCAAGGAAGAGATCATCCTAACCTAAAGACCTCCTCTCAACAACAGACCCTCCCGGGAACCAATCAACACCAGAAGCACCCAAACCTAAAGCATCACCCACAGCAGCAGCACCCACAGGTTGTTTTTGAGAATTCAGGTTGTTTTTTAGAATTCTCAAAAACAACCTGAAGCATCACCCACAGCAACAGCACCCACCCACCCATCCCTCTCCTCCATTCTCATTGTGTTCCATTCCCCCTTATCCCTACAGGCGGGCGAGAAGCGCAAGGAAGAAATCATTCTAGAAACGTCCTCCCAGCAGCAAACCCTCCCCGGAACCAACCAGCAGCAGCAGCAGCCCATACCCTTCCCCGCCCACCCCACCTCCTCCTCCCCTGACAATCCCGCATCCCCTGTGGCCAATCCTGAGCTGCCACGTGTCCAGGCTGAGCTGGAGCAGGAGCGGGCAGCGGGGCGGCTGGATGCGTGGGGGAAGTATCTGCTGGGGGTGGTGCTGGCGCAGAGGGGGAGGGAGGGGGAGGCGCGGGGGTTGCTGTGTGAGAGTGTGCGGGAGTACCCCTGGAACTGGGCTGCATGGCAGCAGATAGAGGTGAGAGAGGGAGACAGACAGGCACACTGACAAAAAGCACACGCTCACAGCCCAGGGAGGGGGAGGTGCGGGTGGTGCTGTGTGAGAGTGTGCGGGAGTACCCTTGGAATTGGGCTGCATGGCAGCAGATAGAGGTGAGAGAGGGAGGCGTGCATACAGACAAACTCACACTCAGTGAGGGTCAGTGTGAGGGGGTGTGCGGGAGTACCCTTGGAACTGGGCTGCATGGCAGCAGATAGAGGTGAGACATAGAGGCAGGCACGCTGACAAAAGCACATGCTCACATCACACCCAGCAGATACAGGTGAGCGAGTAGTATCACTGGGAGTGACTTTTGAGGCGCCTCAGGAGGCTGGATGCGTGGGGGAGGTATCTGCTGGGGGTGGTGTTGGGGCAGAGGGGGCGGGAGGCGGAGGCGCGGGGTGTGCTGTGTGAAACTGTGAGGGAGTACCCTTGGAACTGGGCTGCATGGCAACAGATCGAGGTGAGGGATTGAGACACATAGGCACACAGACAAACGCACACACTCACACACAATGAGGGAGAGCGCAACACATACCTTTCGCTCCTCCCCTCCCTCCTCTCCTCTCCCACTGAATCGCCCCCTTCTCCGGTCCCCTCTCCCTCCTCCCCTCATTGTTTGGTCTATAGTTTTTTTCAATCAATCTTCCCTCAGTCCACACTCCCCCTCACCCAATGTTGAAATCACTTTTGAGAATTCTTAAAAGCGTTATCTTCAATCATTTCTCTGTCAGGCTACACCCTAAACCCTCACCCGAATACCCCCCCTGTTCAACCACCCCCTCCACCCCACCCCCCCTTCACCCACCTCTCCAACCTCCCAACCCCCACGCACACACCCTCCTGCGAGGCCCTCTGCATAGATCACGACACCTACCTCTCGCTCCTCCCCTCGCTCCCTGCCCACTGGATGACTCTCTTCGCCCTCTCCTCCCTCCTCCAATGTCCTTCCCCAACACCCCCTTCCCTCTACCCCGTCTCCCCCATCACGCCCCCCCCAGGCCCTGTGTCTCGATCACGACACCTACCTCTCGCTCCTCCCCTCGCTCCCTGCCCACTGGATGACTCTCTTCGCCCTCTCCTCCCTCCTCCAATGTCCTTCCCCAACACCCCCTTCCCTCTACCCCGTCTCCCCCATCACGGCCCCCCCAGGCCCTGTGTCTCGATCACGACACCTACCTCTCGCTCCTCCCCTCGCTCCCTGCCCACTGGATGACTCTCTTCGCCCTCTCCTCCCTCCTCCAATGTCCTTCCCCAACACCCCCTTCCCTCTACCCCGTCTCCCCCATCACGGCCCCCCCAGGCCCTGTGTCTCGATCACGACACCTACCTCTCCCTCCTCCCCTCCCTCCCTTGCCACTGGATGACTCTCTTCGCCCTCTCCTCCCTCCTCCAATGTCCTTCCCCAACACCCCCTTCCCTCTACCCCGTCTCCCCCATCACGGCCCCCCCAGGCCCTGTGTCTCGATCACGACACCTACCTCTCGCTCCTCCCCTCGCTCCCTGCCCACTGGATGACTCTCTTCGCCCTCTCCTCCCTCCTCCAATGTCCTTCCCCAACACCCCCTTCCCTCTACCCCGTCTCCCCCATCACGGCCCCCCAGGCCCTGTGTCTCGATCACGACACCTACCTCTCGCTCCTCCCCTCGCTCCCTGCCCACTGGATGACTCTCTTCGCCCTCTCCTCCCTCCTCCAATGTCCTTCCCCAACACCCCCTTCCCTCTACCCCGTCTCCCCCATCACGGCCCCCCCAGGCCCTGTGTCTCGATCACGACACCTACCTCTCCCTCCTCCCCTCCCTCCCTTGCCACTGGATGACTCTCTTCGCCCTCTCCTCCCTCCTCCAATGTCCTTCCCCAACACCCCCTTCCCTCTACCCCGTCTCCCCCATCACGGCCCCCCCAGGCCCTGTGTCTCGATCACGACACCTACCTCTCCCTCCTCCCCTCCCTCCCTTGCCACTGGATGACTCTCTTCGCCCTCTCCTCCCTCCTCCAATGTCCTTCCCCAACACCCCCTTCCCTCTACCCCGTCTCCCCCATCACGGCCCCCCCAGGCCCTGTGTCTCGATCACGACACCTACCTCTCGCTCCTCCCCTCCCTCCCTTGCCACTGGATGACTCTCTTCGCCCTCTCCTCCCTCCTCCAATGTCCTTCCCCAACACCCCCTTCCCTCTACCCCGTCTCCCCCATCACGGCCCCCCCAGGCCCTGTGTCTCGATCACGACACCTACCTCTCGCTCCTCCCCTCGCTCCCTGCCCACTGGATGACTCTCTTCGCCCTCTCCTCCCTCCTCCAATGTCCTTCCCCAACACCCCCTTCCCTCTACCCCGTCTCCCCCATCACGGCCCCCCAAGGCCCTGTGTCTCGATCACGACACCTACCTCTCGCTCCTCCCCTCGCTCCCTGCCCACTGGATGACTCTCTTCGCCCTCTCCTCCCTCCTCCAATGTCCTTCCCCAACACCCCCTTCCCTCTACCCCGTCTCCCCCATCACGGCCCCCCCAGGCCCTGTGTCTCGATCACGACACCTACCTCTCCCTCCTCCCCTCCCTCCCTTGCCACTGGATGACTCTCTTCGCCCTCTCGTCCCTCCTCCAATGTCCTTCCCCAACACCCCCTTCCCTCTACCCCGTCTCCCCCATCACGGCCCCACCAGGCCCTGTGTCTCGATCACGACACCTACCTCTCCCTCCTCCCCTCCCTCCCTGCCCTCTGGATGACTCTCTTCGCCCTCTCCTCCTCCAATGTCCCCCCTTTCCCATCCACACACCCCTTTTTCAGGCCCTGTGTCTAGACCATGACACCTACCTCTCGCTCCTCCCCTCCCTCCCCGCCCACTGGATGACTCTCTTCGCCCTCTCCTCTCTCCTCCTCTCCCTCCACCGCAACTCCGAAGCCCTCTCCCTCTGCCTGCACCTCGCCTCCCCCCCTTCCTCCTCCTCCTCCGCCTCTGCTTCCTCCTCCTCCTTCTCTCACTCCCTCTCTCACTCGTCCCAGCAAGTAGAGGGGGAACAGGGGGGCAGGCGGGGGATCGGGGATGGGGATGGGGGAGGAGGGGGCGGAAAGGATGAGGCATTTGCAGGGAGAGGAGGAGGAGCAGGGGGAGGAGGAGGAGCAACAGCAGCAGCAGGAGGAGGGGGAGCAGGAGAGACAACAGCAGGAGGGACACTGGGAGGGGCAGGGGCAGGAGGAGGGGGTGGATTTCCTCACAGCACGTGGGTGGCGGCAGCGACAGCAACGGCTCATTACAACCTGAGGGACTTTGACTCGGCAGAGGCCGTGTTCACAGAGTTGACCAGCGTTGACCCGTACAGACTGGAGGCCATGGACACGTTTTCCAACATCCTCTATGTGAAGGAGGATTTTGCCGGGCTTAGTCACCTGGCTCACAGGGTGAGTTGAGTGGTGTTGACTGGCATTGACTTGAGTTGATCGGCGTTGACTTGAGTTGACCGGCATTTACTTGAGTTGACCGGCGTTGACTTGAGTTGATCGGCGTTGACTTGGGTTGACCGGCTTTGACTTGGGTTGACCGGCGTTGACTTGAGTTGACCGGCGTTTCAGACTAGAAGCCATGGACACGTTCTCGAACATCTTATATGTTAGCGAAGACTTTCCCAGGCTTAGTCACCTAGCACACCAGGTGAGCTCACTACAACCTGAGGGACTTTGACTTGGCAGAAGCGGTGTTCACTGAGTTGACCAGCGTTGACCCATACAGGCTAGAAGCTATTGACACGTTTTCTAACATCCTCTATGTGAAGGAGGACTTTGCTGGGCTTAGTCACCTGGCTCACAGGGTGAGTGGGGGTGTTGACTGGCGTTGACCAGCATTGACCCGTACAGGCTGGAGGCCATGGACACGTTTTCGAACATCCTCTATGTGAAGGAGGACTTTGCTGGGCTTAGTCACCTGGCGCACTGGGTGGGTTGACTGGCGTTGACTTCATTAGTCTTTTACCCGCCACCCAACTATCCAGAGTTGCTGGAATGCCTACTTTTCCCTTCACCCTTGCCTTTCATGCCCTCCCATCCCCTCTCCATCCTCCACACAGTCACCTACTTCCGCCGGGTCCTCCGCCTCGACCGCTGCTACCTGTCCGCATGGACGTTGCCTCTTGCCATCAAAGGTTGTTGGTGCCCTTTCCTTCCCCCTGCCCCCTGCCTTGTGCTCCCTCCCATCCCATTTCTTCGTTACAGGTGACCAAAATTGACAAGTAACGCCCTGAGACGTGCTGCATAGTGGGAAACTACTTCTCCCTCGAGGGTTGCCACGAGCGAGCCGTCGCCTACTTCCTTCCTCCTTCCCCTTGCCTTACACGCCCTCCCATCCCCTCTCCATCCTCCACACAGGTGACTAAAATCGACAAGTACCGCCCTGAAACCTGCTGCATCGTCGGAAACTACTTCTCCCTCAAGGGCCATCACACGAGCAAGCCGTGGCCTACTTTCGCCGGGCCCTCTGCCTTGACCGCTGCTACCTGTCGGCGTGGACGCTGTCTCTTGCCATCAAGGGTTGTTGGTGTTCATTCATTCCTTCCCCCTGCCCCCTGCTTTGCGCTCCCTCCCATCCCCTCTCCTCCCTCACAGGTGACTAAAATCGACAAGTACCGCCCTGAAACCTGCTGCATAGTCGGAAACTACTTCTCCCTCAAGGGCCGCCACGAGCGAGGCGTGGCCTACTTCCGCCGCGCCCTCCGCCTCGACCGCTGCTACCTCTCCGCGTGGACGCTATCGCTTGCCATCAACTGGTGCTGGTGTCCCTTCCTCCCCCCTGCCCCCTGCCTTGCGCTCCCTCCCATCCCATCCCCTTTCTTCGTTACAGGTCACTAAGATTGACAAGTATCGGCCAGAGACCTGCTGCATAGTCGGAAACTACTTCTCCCTCAAGGGCCGCCACGAGCGAGCCGTAGCCTACTTCCGCCGAGCCCTCCGCCTGGACCGCTGCTACCTCTCTGCGTGGACGCTGATGGGGCACGAGTATGTGGAGATGAAGAACAGTGCCGGGGCGATTCAGGCGTACAGGCGGGCGGTGGATATTAATCCGAGGGATTATCGCGCGTGGTACGGGCTCGGGCAGACGTATGAGATCCTCGCCATGCCCTACTACGCCCTCTACTACTATCGGTGAGTGCCTGGTTTAGGGTTTGGGGTTTTGGGTTTAGGGTTTAGGGTTTCAGGCTTAGATTTGGTGCTGCTTGTGCTGTTCTCTCCGCCTCGACCGCTGCTACCTGTCCGCGTGGACGCTGATGGGGCACGAGTATGTGGAGATGAAGAACAGTGCCGGGGCGATTCAGGCGTACAGGAGGGCGGTGGACATCAACCCGAGGGATTATCGGGCGTGGTACGGGCTCGGGCAGACTTATGAGATCCTCGCCATGCCCTACTACGCCCTCTACTACTACCGGTGGGTGCCTGGTTTAGGGTTCAGGGTGAATGGTTTGGGGGTGAGGGGATTCGGAGGGCCATTCTATCCATGCCCTACTACGCCCTCTACTTCTACCGGTGGGTGCCTGGGGGTTTAGGGGTTGGAGTTGCGCACTAGAGCACCTAGAGTAGGGTTACTTGAAGCCTCATGTGGTACGGGCTCGAGCAGACGTATGAGATCCTCGCCATGCCCTACTACGCCCTCTACTACTACCGGTGGGTGCCTGGTTGAGGGTTTGGGAATCAAGGGTTTGGGTTTAGGGTTTGGGGTTGCCCCCTCGTTGCTTATCGGCTCCCGAGCTTCCCTCTTACCTGAACAATCCTCAGAGTCTTTGGTTCCCCCAAACTCTCACCATGTTCTGCTCAAATCCCCTGCTACCTACCGTCCTCACTAACCTCGCCAACTGCAATTTCTATGTTTTTGAAACACTCCCGCATGTGGTGTGCCATGGGGCAGTGCTACGAGGCCCAGCAGCTGCAGCAGCCGGAAGCAACCATCCACATTCCGAGATATCCCCCACTCTTCCCCTCTCTGCGTTGCCTCCTCTTATCCCTTGCAGTAATGCAGCATCCCTGCGCCCCCACGACTCCCGCATGTGGTGTGCCATGGGGCAGTGCTACGAGGCCCAGCAGCTGCAGCAACCAGCAGCCAGCAGCCGTCATCCACTGCTAACCCACACTCTCCTCTCCCCTTCGCGCCTGTCTGTGCCCAACAGTAAAGCAGCGTCTCTGCGTCCCCACGACTCCCGCATGTGGTGTGCCATGGGGCAGTGCTACGAGGCCCAGCAGCTGCAGCAGCCGGAAGCAGCCATCCGGTGCTACCATCACCCACTCTCCCCATTCCTTTCCTGTCCCACCCTCCTATTTTCCTTCCGATCCCTCTTCCTACTCCCAACAGTAAAGCAGCCTCCCTGCGCCCCCATGATTCCCGCATGTGGTGTGCCATGGGGCAGTGCTACGAGGCACAGCAGCTACAGCAGCCGGAAGCCGCCATCCGCTGCTACCGCCGTGCAGTCGCCAGCAATGAGAGCGAGGGGCTGGCCCTGCACAAGCTGTCGAAGCTTTACGAGGGGCTGGGGCAGATGAGGCAGGCGGCTCATTTCTACAAGTGAGTCTCAAGTTGATGGAAGTTGCAAATTGGACTCAGAATGATGTATGGAGCAGGTGTGGTAAAAGGACACTCTTTGAATCGAGGGGCTTGGGCTGCACCAGCTGTCGAAGCTGAAGGAGGGGCTGGGGCAGATGCGACAGGCGGCACACTTCTACAAGTGAGTATCAGAGGGCAGACAGGTGCACATAATAGGAAGGGTTGGGAAACAGCAACGAGAGCGAGGGGCTAGCTTTGCACAAGCTGTCAAAGCTTTACGAGGGACTGGGGCAGATGAAGCAGGCGGCACACTTCTACAAGTGAGTCTTTCAACATGAGGGCAGACGCGAATTGGGCTCAGAATGATGTAGTTGTGGTAGTGGGACTTGGACGAGAGGGCCTGGCGCTGCACAAGCTGTCGGCCATCCGCTGCTACCGCTTGTGAGTCTTTCAACGTGAGGGAAGGCGCGAATCGGGCTCAGCATGATGTATGAAGCATGTGTGGTTGTGAGACTTGAGAGTGAGGGGCTGGCGCTGCACAAGCTGTCGAAGCTATATGAGGGGCTGGGGCAGATGAAGCACGCGGCACACTTCTACAAGTGAGTTGAGGAAGCGTAGTGCACCGTTCAAGGGGAATAGGTGCAAATAAGGCATGGAATGAGAGCCGTGCCGTCGCCAGCAACGAGAGCGAGTGCCTGGCGCTGCACAAGCTGTTGAAGCTGTATCAGGGGCTGGGGCAGATGAGACAGGCTGCTGATTACTACAAGTGAGTCTCTAAGTGAGGGTGGGTGCTCATATAACACGAAATGAGTGTCGTTGTTGCCAGCAATGAGAGCGAAGGCCTTGCGCTGCACAAGCTGTCAAAGCTGTATGATGGGCTGGGGCAGATGAGACAGGCGGCACACTTCTACAAGTGAGTTAATCTAGAAAGGAGGGGGGAGACCAAGTGGTGTCCGAGGGAAATGGCACAAGTCAGGCAAGGAATGATAAAATTTTGAACAGTCGCAGGAAATAAAAGCGCTGTGCTAGCTATGAGAGGGCATGAGGTGGATGAGCGTGGGGCATGAGGTGGATGAGCATGGGGCATGAGGTGGATGAGCATGGGGCATGAGGTGGATGAGCATGGAGCATGAGGTGGATGAGCATGGGGCATGAGGTGGATGAGCATGGGGCATGAGGTGGATGAGCATGGGGCATGAGGTGGATGAGCATGGGGCATGAGGTGGATGAGCATGGGGCATGAGGTGGATGAGCATGGGGCATGAGGTGGATGAGCATGGGGCATGAGGTGGATGAGCATGGGGCATGAGGTGGATGAGCATGGGGCATGAGGTGGATGAGCATGGGGCATGAGGTGGATGAGCATGGGGCATGAGGTGGATGAGCATGGGGCATGAGGTGGATGAGCATGGGGCATGAGGTGGATGAGCATGGAGCATGAGGTGGATGAGCATGGGGCATGAGGTGGATGAGCATGGGGCATGAGGTGGATGAGCATGGGGCATGAGGTGGATGAGCATGGGGCATGAGGTGGATGAGCATGGGGCATGAGGTGGATGAGCATGGGGCATGAGGTGGATGAGCATGGGGCATGAGGTGGATGAGCATGGGGCATGAGGTGGATGAGCATGGGGCATGAGGTGGATGAGCATGGGGCATGAGGTGGATGAGCATGGGGCATGAGGTGGATGAGCATGGGGCATGAGGTGGATGAGCATGGGGCATGAGGTGGATGAGCATGGGGCATGAGGTGGATGAGCATGGGGCATGAGGTGGATGAGCATGGGGCATGAGGTGGATGAGCATGGGGCATGAGGTGGATGAACATGGGGCATGAGGTGGATGAGCATGGGGCCAGCTCTTGTCCATCCGTGTGTTCTTGCTTGTCTTCTCATTCCACAAGCCATCTTGGTCACACCTCATCTCTCTTGCCCCATCGGTGTTTCCCGCTGTTTTCCCTCTGTATGTTCTTTATTCTCTTCTCCTTGCATCGCAGGCGCAATCCGGACCGCATGGACTCGAGGTGGAGGGGCCAGAGCTGATGGAAGCTCTGCTCTTCCTCGCAACAAATTATCGACTCTTACCCCATCTCTTACCCCCAACTGTGTGCTCTCCTTTCTCCAGGCGCAATCCGGACCGCATGGACTCGAGGTGGAGGGGCCAGAGCTGATGGAAGCTCTGCTCTTCCTCGCAACAATTTATCGACTCTTACCCCATCTCTTACCCCCAACTGTGTGCTCTCCTTTCTCCAGGCGCAATCTGGACCGCATGGACTCGAGGTGGAGGGGCCAGAGCTGCTGGAAGCTCTGCTCTTCCTGGCCACACACCAACTCTTTCTCTATCCATTATTTTTCCTCTGTGTGCTCTAATTCTCCTCGGCCTGCAGGCGCAATCTGGACCGCATGGACTCGGAGCAGGTGGAGGGGCCAGAGCTGGTGGAGGCTCTGCTCTTCCTGGCCACACACCACCGCTCCGAGGGCAGTTTGGCAGAGGCTGAGAGATATTCCACCCGCCTTCTCGACTTTGGTGGCCCTGTAAGTGGAATTCCGGATTGGGATGGATTGGATAGCATTCTACTTAGCAGGTGGAGGGCCCGGAGCTGGTGGAAGCGCTGCTCTTCCTGGCCATACACCACCGCTCTCAGGGCAGTCTTGACTCCACCCGCCTGCTCGTCTTTCGCGGGCCCGTAAGTTGAATTCCGATAGGATTGAAGTGGAGGAGTGGATGGTATGCTGCACCACAGGAACGGAGGTGGAGGCGCTGCATTTCCTGGCCACACACCATCGCTTCGAGGGCAGTCTTGCGGAGGCTGAGAGATACTCCACACGCCTGCTTGACTTCGGAGGCCCTGTGAGTCAAACTCGTGCAAGCTTGGAGTAGTAGATAGATAGATAGCATGGTGTACTGGAGGATGGGCTGGTTGAAGCGTTGCTATTTCTCGCCAAGCCTAGGGTAGTTTGGTGGAGGTTTCTGGTTGAGATTTTCCACATCCCTGCTTTACTATGGCGGCCCAGTGAGTTTTGTTGTTACAGACACAAACCTTACCCCAATTGTTTGTCAATCAGACTAAAAACCGACAAGTTCCGTGTAGATGTTACACTTTAAGTGGCTGACCATGTTGCTGGTCCTTTCCGCCCTTGACTGCAGGCAAAGGAAGATGCCAAAGCTCTATTACGGGAGATTAGGAGCGTGCACGAGCATCATCATCAACATCACCATGGCATAGAAGCATTGTCGTCCTTGGGATTGGAGAGTGGAGATGAGGATGAGGATGGGAATGGTGATAGTGATGATGAAGATATGGACATTGAGGGTGGGTTTTAGCCAGCTCGAGGGTGGTTTTGATGGTTCCCTCGAGGTTTGATCGCAGGCAAAGGAGGATGCCAAAGCTCTGTTGAGGGAGGTTCAGAGTACAGCAGCACCGCCACCATGGCATAAGGGCATTGTCATCTTTGGGGCTTGAGGCTGGAGATGAGGATGAGGAAGGGAATGGTGATAGTGATGATGACTTTTGAGTCGACTCAAAAGTCACCTCGTCATCATTGGGGCTTGAGTCTGGAGATGAGGATGAGGATGATTTTTTAGGCGCCTAAAAAATCGGCTGGAGATGAGGATGAGGATGGGAATGGTGATAGTGATGATGACGAAGATATTGACCTTGAGGGTGGGTTCTAGCCAGCTTGGGAGGATTTCATTATACGCATTTGATTTGATGTAGTGTGGAGCTTGGAAGAACATGACGTGCTACCACTGGATACTGAAACAAATTTATACTTGCAAACAGGTGTTGTGGATCCCTGCAGGATTGGAATGGAATTTAACATGCATTGGAAGCGAATGCAACGGGTGGGCGACGAGGACGACGGGGGGGAGGGGAGGGGGGGGGGGCGAGGGCGGTGGGCAGGAGAAGCGGCGACGGCGACGAGTGGGGAAGCGAGAGTGGTGGGCGGGGGAAGTGAGGGCGACCGGGATGTGAGGGCGACGGGCGAGGGGAGCGAGGGCGAGGGGCGAGGGAAGCGAGGGTGGTGGACAACGCACTAAGGGCGTGTAACATTGCACTGACCAATCCAAAAATCCGACCATTTGGTTGGGGCATGCGAATGCGATGGGAGTAACACGATGGCGAGGGATGCGAGATTTTCCCGCCAAATGACCACAATAACGACCATATCGGCAAACGCCCAAACCAAGTGACCGTACGTGCGACCAGTTTGGTCTCGAAAACATCCCCACCGTGATAGTCACCCACAGAAAAAAAAAAACAGGTACCACCCACAGATTAGCATTACGTGGTATTCCCCGACCAGTTTGCTAAACACTACCATCTTTTCTTGACCCGTATATACACACCCCGATCGAATGTTGAATTCGGATTATACCTCTAAATTCATATTACGGGGGTACGCAAGGATGGGTGCCCCTAAATCGACCACGCAAGAATCGTGGTCACTGTAAATCTAAAGAAAACGCCCCAGGTGTTTGTTACCACTTCCCTCGCATATCGGCCAACACGACCAAATGGTTGGATTTTGGGTTTGGTCACTGCAATGTTACACGCCCTAATCGCTCATCTCGTGCGAACCCTTCTCCCTGTGCTTCACACTTGCTTTCTGCGCAAACACTCCCTCTTTTGGGCATCTGATTCCTCTAGATTCAACGCCCATGCCCTGCCTTAAAGCCCGCAGCCCAAGTTGTTCAACCTTAGGACGTGGGCCCAATCTGCTCTGATCGGCTCTGATCTGATCGGATCAGATTGCCCATTATCACATTGCTCGAGCCGCCCGATCAGCAATGTTTTTCGTAGAAGATTCTCAACTCCTGCTCGGCAAACGCTGGAAGATTACCTGACACTTTCTCTCCAACTTACGCGAGATTGGCGACCAAACGTCACCTGGCGAATATATTTGTTTCCCTATGAGCGAGGCGTTAACGAGACTTAAGACAACAGTGTAACATTTCGCAAGAGTCGTTCTGGTCCTCGATCGCATGCAATCAACTGATCGCCCGTGATCGAGGAAAATTGTGTTTGATCGGGGTGAAAATCGGGTCTGATCGAGTCGGGGCGATCTGTTGATCGCGATAAGCTGATTGCCCCCGATTGCCTGAAATTGGCTTCCAAGCTTCCTAGAAGTTATTGATCGCCTCTGATCAAGGCGATCAGTACCCATTGGGCCCACGTCCTTACTAAGGTTGACCATTGGGTGGTGGGGGGGCTGGACAAAGAAAAGTCAAAGTTCTGGGAGGGCGGCTGTAGTTGGTTTCACTGCATTCTGCCTTTCTCGCTGACTCAGGGTACGTTCCTGGCTCGTGTCAAACTTCTGGTCTTCTGGGGATGACATGAAGCTGGCCCCACTTTGGGTCATCCGAGACCAACTTCGGGTCTTCCCGCTAAATTTCGCCTCTGTTTTCGGAAGACACGAAGTTTGACAGGAAGTTTGACCTAAACCTTCGAGTCTTCCCGGGAAGACCGGAAGTTTGACACGAGCCAGGAACGTACCCTCAGCAAACCCAGGGGCCAGCTCGCGTTCAGTTGCGAGAGTCCCATGTTGCACAGAGAATAACATTTCAAGTTTCCCGCTACTCATGTTTGACGAACCCAGGTTCAAGTGCGCTAGCTAATCAGATGTTAAAACGCTAGGTTGCTAGGGAACCTAGGTTTAAGAACAAGAGTGGTAGCGAGAGAGTTTTGGTTAAAGAAGAGGGGTTGCACTATAGAATGAGCAGTACAAATAGGCATGAGACATGAACATTGTGGTACACCACCACACATATTAACAAAACAGCAACAGTAACTATTTCTACAGGCAGTTACTAACAACATATAAACATATATTGTTCGACACACCCCCTAACTGCCTGTAGCAAATAGCGTAAGAACAGATAAGCTGGCGCTCAACAACTGCCCAGGTAGCAACTAAACCAGCGCGTGGCAGACGTGCGGTAGGAGCGAGGCAGGCGAGCAGACGCAGCCGCAAGCAGGATAAGCAATACATGAAGCAGAAATGTGCAACGGAAACACACGAAAACAACACCAAGGCACTCCTGCCACCCCCTCACTCTCCCCCCCCCCCCACCACCCCAGGAGGGGCGGCAGGGAGAGAGAGGAGGCGGCCTGGCGCTGTCTGGTCACCCCCTCCATCCCCTCACCCTCCCCCCCTCACCCCACTGCACCAGGAGCAGCAGGGGGAATTAGGAGAGGTGGATGGATGGTTGCTGGTCACACCCGCCACCCTAAACCCTATATTGTTTGACATCAGATCCCTTCGCATCGTTCGTAACCCTAATTCGCACAAAAAAAAAAACCGAAAGCAATGCTCGATCAAGAATAGTAAGGTTGACCCGCGCGATCAACTTGGGCCACGGGCTTTAACGTATGCTTGTAGAAGCTTTGGTCTTTCAAGTTATAACTTGCTAAACTAGTCTGAAAAACTGTCAAAACCTAATTATCTATTAACTACCTGTAGTATAGTCTAGTGTAGTTGTATTGTCAGAAAACAGTTGTGATCACAACAGTTTTACGACACGGAAGTATAAGTGGTGGGGTGTAGCAACCTGTACATATGTAAAAAGCGAGGATGACCTTTGGGAACCGCGGTGGACAAGGGAATGGGATCGAGAGGAAGGGTTGGACTGGGAAGGATAAAAAAGGTTACAGGGTAGTGCGGGAAGGAAGGGATAAGGGGAAACAAAGGTTTGGGAGGTAACAAGGCAGAGGGCGGGATATAAACGGGGGTGTTGTATGGTTTGTGAATGTGGTATGCATGCTTGAGAATGTTTTGTTTCCTGCAGACACCGAGTCCGCGCCAACTGGAGGTTGCAGTCGCAAGCTGGAGGCAAGGAGGAGGCAGATGTTGGGCGGCCTAGTGAAGGGTCCTGGTTCATCTCTGTGATGGCTAAAGCCAAAGCTATGATAGGAGGAGGTAGAATAGGAGGAACAAGCCATGGGACTGCCACTGCTTGTATGTTCTCTTTTACTGTGATTTCTTCTCTGAAGATAAGCAGCCTTAATGGAGCCATAACAAGTAGCCTGATGGGATAGGAAGGGACTGGTTATTACATATAAGCAATAGAGCAAGGGAACAATGACAAAGGGAAGGAGAAAGCGGGGTAGAGGTACAGGGAGGGGCACACCAAGGGAGGTCAGTTGAAGGAGTAGAGGAGGCAAGAGGGGAGGAGAAAGGAACACAAAGCACTAAAGGTTGGAAGGAGTAAGCTGAGGGAAGGACGGGATGAGAAAGAGAGATGAGCATGAGGCAGAAAAGGAGGATGAGGGAGATTCTAACAGTATTGCATTTTGTATAGGTGGTGCACCATTTGCCCTTGCCCTTGCCTGTATTTCTCGCCTCTCATCCTAATCGAACCCCTCTTTCTCGTTCCTATTTTTCCTAGTTCGAAACCTTAGTTGCTAGTCTCTAACATGGTATCGAGAGCCATCTTCCCCTTGCTTGTCACTCTTATAGCCCCTCCCTTGAGCGCCCCGTCGCGCCCTGCTAGTCTCGCCGAACCCGCTAGCCCCATTGTGCCCAGCTCGCCC